CAACGCGGCCCCCCCCCGCGGGAGCCTGCCCCAGAGCCAACCCCCGCTCCCACGGCGCAGGGAAATCCCTGCGCTCAACTCACCCCTCTGGCGCTGGCGGCGCAGGAAAGCTTCCGCACTCCTCCTCTGGGGCCAATGCCCCCTCCCCCAGCACGCAACAGAGCTGTGGAAGGGGAGCAGCCCGTGCACTTCCGGAACTCCCGGAAGTGACGCGGGCTTCAGACAGGACTTCCATCCACCCTGCGGGAAGCCGGCACTACACTAGAGGTAGGTAGTGGGGCTTCTCGGGCGCGGGGGAGAAATGGGAGGTGGGTTGCCCGAACGCCTCGCGATCGACGGGTTGGTGACCACGGCTTTAGACTTATGAAAAGGAGGGTTCTGATGATGCAAAGTGAGTCAGGGGATACAACCTACACCAGTGTTTCTTAAACTTTTTAAGACCGAGGAACACCAAACAATTTTTTTTTTATGATGAACACCAAGGATATTTGGTTGAGGAAAAAAAAAAGGTCGCCTGTCCCTTCAAGGGCGGCCATTTTGAATTCTGTTGTTCTCTACAGCACACCTCCGACTGACTTGCGACACACTGGTGTGTCATAGAACACAGTTTAAGAAACACTGACCTACACTAAGAACTTAGGAGACTTAGATTATGTTCCCAGCTGTGCCTCTGACTGCTGTGTGACTTTGGGCAAGTCACTTCACTTCCTTCAGCTTCCCCATACGTTAAAAGGGAAATAATGATAGGGACTCTGTTCCCCATGGAAAATGCTTTCAGATCTCTGTCTGAAAAGCTCTAGAAAAGACCTAGTTTTCATCACCATCCTCAAGGGCTGGGACTGACTCTTAAGATGTATCGCTGTAGTGCCTAACACAATGGGCGCTGGTCTCAGCTGGATCTGTATGCACTACTGCAATACAAATAACAATAATCATCTGGGTACTTACATCCTTGTTCCCCATGTTATGATGTACATGTCCAGGGTGCAAGTACCCATGTGTCTTTCGGATAGTCTCACCTGGTACATGGATAGCAAGAAATCTAGACAAAGATATGAATTATTCAGTCCTACAAACAAATGTCTCCTGAAACAAACTGGTTGGTAACGCAGGTAACCATCTTCACAGGCAATTTCCAACCTAGAAAACAATGAATTTTTCGGGACTAGTTCATGGCTGAACTTGACGTAAACTTGGGATTCCATCCACTAGCAACACAACCACACAGTGGGTAACAAATAAACTCAGCTCCCTTGAATAACAAACAGTAATACCACAGAGACAAATTTATTTTCAAAGCATGTTGGTATCCTGCCCAGTTACCTACGCCTTGTTCAAAACAAACAGATACGATTGCTGCATCACAAAGCACCCTTTTAGCATTCTGATGCACATCCGTTCATAAACGCCTTTATTCTTCTCTTGATTTAAAGGTGGCCTGAAAAGTGAGGAAAATGTACTTGTGCTTGCTCTTTGTTGGTTCTTCTCTGTGTTATAAAAAAAAGATGTGACAGTTTAGATTTGTTTTGTTTTAATTATTCCTCCCTCGCCTGCTTAGTTTTTTACTTGAGAACTTTCTTCTCTGCTCTGGAAGACTCTAGGATGACTGGAGATTTAATGAAATGATAACATCACCATAGTCAAGACAGTGAAATCTGAGCAACTGAACACACACAGGAAAAAAAACTAAACAATGACTACTTACATATAATATGTAGGATACAGCCCTTCAAAGTACCAGCAATGTTTTTTGGCCTCTGTACACTGGAAAGGAAACAAACCAACAATATCTTAGTGTTTTTATTTATACACGGCAACAATAACACTATAATAACATTATTACAAATGCAGCCATCAAATAAATATATATTGAGGCAACAAACGGTCTCTGATCCCAAAGATTTCACAATTTTAACAAATACTATGCATGGTGATATTTGACATCGTGAATTGTAACATGCATATCTAGGCCCCGGACTCTGCACAGAGATGCCTACGGAGACCTCTATGGAGGTCAGTGAAGCTCCATTCAGACACAGGAATCTATCTGTCTGAGTTTATCTCTGGGCAGAATGAGGGCTTTGCAATAACCTCAAAGATAAATAGAAGTTAAGAGCCAGTCAGTATCACGGGTCATTTATGAAACAGTTCTAAAGCATCTTTAGTTGAAACTAGCTACCCCTTTCATATGACCCTACATTTAATTAGTCATTAATTTGCAGCGATACTCTTTATGTAATCTCTATACTGATGGAGTACAGCCAGGAAAAGAGTAAAGGCAACACAGTGCTGGGATATTTTCTCATTTCTCTATAACAAAAATAAAATCTGCAACTGTTTCCAGGTGCATTGTAAAGTATCTAGGAAAATAATCTGTTCTCTGCAATCCAGCAGCATTGTTCTCTTTCATGTGCACTATATCCCACTTAGAGGACAGGAGCAGGAATTTTTTCCTGTGTGAGAGGCAATGCTTATCGTGGATATTATCAGAAAAACTAACTAACTAACTAACTAACTAACTAACTAACACCACCACCACTTGGAAAGGAAACACAGACACAACAAGGTAGCATATATAAGGACAAAGCATCTCTATATACTTCACTGGTGCCCATAATATCAGAGAATGCAGTACAAATTAGGAATGTTAGATAGCGTGTAATTCAACTGTCACGTAACCACATCAAATTTTAGCAGCTATATGACTATTCGATAGTATCCAGTGGCGGGACTGGCAGCCAGTGTACTCTCGGCCCCACTCTCGGGAAGCCCCCTGCCACTCCACGCTGCTGCCTATCAGAGGCAGCAGTGCAGAGTAGCAGAGGGGAGTTGGTTTAAAAACCCCTGTTGGCCCTTGTTTGTGGGGGGCCCGAGCTCCCCATGGACAAAGGCTGTGCCGGCATCCAAGAAGCAGCCTCTGTCCAAGGTGAGCCTGGGCCTGCTGCAGACGGAGGCTGCTCTGCAGCAACCTTCCCTGCCCGCTCCCTAATTCTTTACTGATGCCTCTGATACGAAGCAGCACAGGAGAGGGGGGGGAGAGGGCAGGCTACTCTGCAGCCTATATGCACTATGTGTATCATCTCCCGCCTGCCTCCCCACCCTCTGCACTGCTGCCTCTCTATCATAGGCAGCGGGGGAGGCGGGGCAGGAAGCTCCACGGGATCTGGTGCTCATGGGGAGCGAGCTTAAAAGCTGGATCCCAATGGGGACTGGCTCCCACCTCCCCACCCCCTTGCTGCCTCTGATCCAGAGGCAGCAAGGGGACGCATGCGTGTAGTTGACAGGATTAACCGATAAGCCCAGATTTATCGGTTAATCATGTAGACATCTACACACTGACATCCCATGTACAGATACATTTCCAGAAGTTTCATGGCAAGCTATGTTATCAGATGTCACACAAACGATACATTCTTTGATCTTTCCTACACCAAGATGATTTCATATAGGTAACATTTTGTTGGGGTTTTTCAAAGTTAATTCTAATTTCTCTCTTTGCAGAAGGCCTTGCAGCCTAATTTAGGAGGGCATGTATCATGCCCATAAGGTCTAGCTCACCCTTTGTTTTAATTCTGTGACTCATCTTTAAACAACGTAATATCAGCCTCTTTGAATTCCTGGAACACTCAATACATTTGGGCAAGACAGAGAGAGAGTGCTTTTAGATTCCTGACTCGTTATTCACGAATGAGAGAGGCTGTAAACTCTTTATTAAGCACCTCATGAGGAGATTCAGAGAGCAATTACTGCCCAAGAAGACTATTTACTATGGATTAAACTGTTAAGACTAGAAGAAAAGAGCCTTGTCCCACATGAACACTGATAAGGTAGTAGGGCTCATGCCAGCCACTTTATTAATAGGACAGGTTTTGGGCCCTGTAAGAAGCATCTCAGTGTTCAACTTAAAAATAAATTTATCCTTGTTTCCTTTGGAAGCGAATACTGGTTTTCTTCTCATGCTGAAGCTAAGATTGAAAACAACATTCAGCTGGACTTCAGTTCTGCAGCAGGAACAAAGGAAAGCTAAAGATCCACCTGCCCACACATTGCAGGGCTGACAGCCTTGCCGGGCCACTGGGCAAGGTAGGGGAGAGGGTATCCTTCGCACAACCAGAGGGGCGGAGCCTCAGGCAGGAAGGGCAGGGCTAGAGCTAGGAAGCACTCAGCACCACCCAGAGAACACCCCGCCTCTCTCAGGCAATAGTAGCAGCCAGGAGCTCCGGGCCCTTTTGTATTGCTGGGCTGCAGGGCAGTTTCCCCTTTCCTCCCATCAGCAGGCTTGCACCCACCCACACTTTGTGGACACTGAATCAGTTGAGTTTGGGTGCATTCAAAAAAAGTCCTCTTACTAATCCACCTAGATCAGACTCCATTGATCCTCTTCCCACTGCTGAGCCAGGGGAACAGCCGTCCACTTCCTAGGACTGTCTTAAATCTCTCCCCTCTTGGTTTCCCATCCCCTTCTCCTTGCCATTCCTTCCTGATCCCAACCGCCTAGTATTTTCTCTGATAGTCAGCTGCATCTTCATACATCAAAGAAAGAATCGTGACTTTAAGATACTTTGCACAAGGACTAAAAATGAGCTGCAAAATGAACAATAAATATCTAAGAAACACAAAACACCCTTCCCTATGCATCCAGTTTCCCCAACTGTTTACAACAGAAATGTGCAGAGCCCTGCAAATCCACAAACATCCATGTGTTTCTGCGCATCTGTGGCTGAGGATATGGATATCTGTGGCTCATTTTAGCGGATACAAATGCAGATGCGGGTAACAGCACCATTCTCCTCAGCATGAATTCAATCAAGGAAAGTCATCGCGATTCAATTTTTATTATTAAATACGGATATTACCACTGTAACAAGAGATGCCAAAATCTGGACTGGTACTGCATTGTGCTAGGCGCTGACTAAATCCTTACCCAAAACAACCTGTGTTTTGTTCAGGTCTTGAAAAATCTACTTGCCCACTCACCAATGGCAAGACAGACAATGATCTCAGTGATCTGTGATTTGAAACTAAGCTCCCTTATGATCTTGCTGGTATTTTAACTTTTATGATGGACATTTTATCTCCTTTTTGGCTGCAAAATAGTTCATCCTATGTCCTGTACCCATTTGGCCATATTATTATGAAATGCAAGTATAAAAGTGTTTGTTCATTTTTTTAAATGAATGATGCAGGTTTAATTGGGGGCATTTAGGCCAGTTCTAGAGAATTAATGGCCTGTATATAAGCCAGACTACATGAGCCATTTCTTAACACTGTAGGATTTAGAAAAAGTGAAAAATCAAAGATGAGCCATCAAATACCCACTTCTCTGACATACTGCTACTGACTGTTTTCTTTAACAGGGTGTAATAACAAGAACTGGAAGTCGTGCTTTCCTAAAAATCACTAAACTCATTCAGGTTTCCTCTAAGAAAGAAAACGTGCTTTCTGCCACAGACTGAAGCCATTTTCTTCAAATGACTCTGAGATTAAGAGCAATAGGGGGGAAAAGTTGCTAAAATACTAACTCTCTTTAATGGCACCATAAAATAAGGGCTGTGTGAGTGTGGTTTGGGGGAGTAGAGAACAGACATTCTGTTTGTTAAATGTCTGAAGCTCTTCTGCAGAGTATTAGTTACCACATGAAAGATTTACAGAAATACTACAGCAGGATCTTCCTCCACACCATACATCATTATCTTCAAATTCACCAATGAATTCAAATATACCAGGTCATTCTGAACAACTCTTCATCAGGCACAAAAATGAATGCAACATATTTACTTTCACATGAAATACTTGCAAATAAAGGTGTAATTAATGTTGGAGGGTGGATTTTTTTTATTATTTTGAAGGTACATTCAATCTTGGAGGAGTTTATGAAGTCTAGTCCAATCCAGATCCTCATGTGGCATAATCTGGTAAAGCTCTATTGATTGGGAATGACACTCATTTTCATCAACAGAGGATTCGGCCCCTTCTTTTTAGCCAGACAAAGTGCAAGCAGCAGCAATGCAATTTTTCTCTACATACAATCACCAGGCCAGAGAGGGGTAAAAACAGAGCAAGAGTGGGCCATGGGGCCTGCCACATTCATCATTACAGAAATGGTTCCTAGCATTTTGTAGCAGATGGGCATACACTACATTGCAATGGAAACTGGGCTGTTCCAACACCCATTCTCATGGCAGCCTCAAGCTCCACTGAAGATTAAATGGGAAGTGAGCAATAAATAAGCATCTCAGAAGCCCAGAACAGGACTTTCTCATTAAAGGCCTGAAAAACTGAGCAATGCCCAATTCGACTTTCAGATCAGAGCAGCAACCAGAACCCTTTTCACTCAAGCCTCTAAATCAGAGCAGAAAGCATTCGGAAGCACAAGCAGTTTCTTAGAAATGGATTGTTGAAATCGGTAGGAGTCCTGTATGCAGAAGACAAGAAAGATCAGATCAGTAGACTAGAAAATGTGCCTGGTGTTGCTGCTCTTCCACAGATCAGGAGCGGAGCTGAATCCCACCTGTCAGGTTAACGGATGTCCTGACATCAGAGCTGCACTGATCAGTGTCCGCATAGGAACGCGACTGATCTGCTAGAAGAAGTACGGTTTCATTTAGCTCAGTGTAAATTGGCCAAGTTCATCCTTATTTCCTAGCTAGTGGTGCTGACAAATGAGGGCAAAGGTAGCCAAACTCAGCAAACAAGCAACGGCTCGTGTCATGTAATGCAATGGTAACAGTACATCAAAACACTTCTGGGGTTTTGTATAGTCC